GCTCCAGGAAAGTGGGCAGACCGGTTGTCCGCCTTCCTCTTTAAGAAGCCTGGGAGAGAAGGGGCTGCTGGCCGCAGAAAGCGCCCGGTCTGCGACCCGGAGCCCGGAGAAAGCAGCAGCAGTAGTGACGAAGGCTGCACCGTGGTTCGGCCGGAGAAGAAGCGGGCGACCCACAATCCAATGATCCAGAAGACCCGTGGCAGCGGGAAACAGAAGGCGTCTTTCGGCGACTTGAGCAGTGAGGAGGAGGAGGGGGAGAATGAGCCCGAGAGTCTCGGCGTGGTCTACAAGTCCACCCGCTCGGCAAAACCCGTGGGGCCAGAGGATATGGGGGCGACCGCAGTCTACGAGCTGGACACAGAGAAGGAGCGTGACGCACAGGCCATTTTCGAGCGCAGCCAGAAGATCCAGGAGGAGCTGCGGGGCAAGGAAGATGACAAGATCTATCGGGGAATCAATAATTATCAGAAATACATGAAGCCCAAGGATACGTCCATGGGCAATGCCTCCTCCGGGATGGTGAGGAAGGGCCCCATCCGGGCGCCCGAGCACCTACGAGCCACGGTGCGCTGGGATTACCAGCCCGACATCTGTAAAGACTACAAAGAGACTGGCTTCTGCGGCTTCGGAGATAGCTGCAAATTCCTCCATGACCGTTCAGATTACAAGCATGGCTGGCAGATCGAACGTGAGCTTGATGAGGGTCGCTATGGTGTCTATGAGGATGAAAACTATGAAGTGGGAAGCGATGACGAGGAAATACCATTCAAGTGTTTCATCTGTCGCCAGACCTTCCAAAACCCAGTTGTCACCAAGTGCAGGCATTATTTCTGCGAGAGCTGTGCGCTGCAGCATTTCCGCACCACCCCGCGCTGCTATGTCTGTGACCAGCAGACCAATGGCGTCTTCAATCCAGCGAAAGAATTAATTGCTAAACTGGCGAAGCATCGAGCCGCCGCAGAGGGTGGTGCTTCCGATTTGCCAGAAGACTCCGATGAGGCACCGATTCCCATTACTTAGGCTTCCCCTGATTCTCACATCTTAAAATAAATATTTTGTTATTTTGGAAGCCTTATTTTGTGTCCTTCCTTTCTAGGGGAAATAACAGAAAAGGCGGGTAGTGAAGTAGGGTCCTGGATTAAAAGCGTCAAGGTAGGTGTAATCTGGATATTTTTAGCTCTGGGATAAATACTTCACCTGTATATTGTTTCAGAACGTTTTGACATCAATTACAGTGATAGGAGTTGGAGGGGAAAAGCTAGAATTTGCTCTAAGTAACCAAAGCTGTGATCAAAGCAAAAACTGAATCTATTATTATATCCTGTTTCTGTATCACTTAATAGTTTACAGAGTCCTTTTATGCGTCATCTCTCTTGGAAAGCCTGTACTACTTTTTTTTTTAAAAAAAAAAGAATTATTTCTTTTTAACTTTATTAATTTTTAATTTGATCAGAAAGGGACAGAATGGAGGGGGGGAGGAGTAAACCTCCAGGTCTGGGACTCAAACCACGGTCAGCCAACATTGAGAGTCCCATGGCCTTAACAACCATGCCGCCTGCTGGCTTCAGAGAACCTGTACTACTTCAAAATATACCCAACCAAAGGTGGAGGGTGGGTGAGGGTGGATTAGGGGACTGGTAACCAGCCTCACACAGTGTGTGTGTAGGAAGTGGTCCCTGCTCTCCTTGAGGTACTACTAGGTAGCCGCCCTCTTCCATGAGTGATGGAATTGGTCTATGCTGCACTGGTTCCTGTGATAGACAACTAGCATCGTGTGACTACTGAACTCTTGAAGTGTGGCAAGTGGCCATGGTATTGCACATTGGAGTTCTACGATGAACTTGTGAATCCTCAGAGGGCAAAAGCCCAGTATTAATAATCCATTGTCTAAAATGAAAACTGATAGAGCTGAACACACCCTACTGAAGTTCGTTGATGTACCTGTGTTCTCAACTAGTTTGGTATATAAAAAGTACTTAAGCCCAGAGAGATTGTATTTTTTTTAAAGAACTATTTTATTTAACTTTATTTATTTACTTATTTTTAAAATTTGACCAGAGAAGGAACAAAGAGAAAGTGAGAAAGCAAACCAGCAAGCCACCGGGTCCAGGATTTGAACCGTGGTCACCTATGTGGGAGGACGCAGGTCCTTTAACCATCACGTCACCTGCCAGCCCCCAACCAAGAGATTTTAAATGGGAGACTGGGACCAATCCATGTTGAGCAGTGACTATGTATTCTGTAGTAATGGGGTGATAGGAGAGGTTTGAGGAAGGGAGATTAATTAGACGTTTTAAAAATGTTAAAGACTTCAACTCGTGGAGCTGCATTTCATACCTAAAGGTCTTTGTTGTAGATGAAAGTTTACTTTTTTTTATATAATGAAACTTTATGGAATAATAAATTACATAGACAAAAATAAAATGTTACTGTGGAGGCTAGCAGGTGGTGTGGTGGTTAAGGGCTCTGGGCTCCCACATGTCCAATCCGATTGTAGTTTGAATCCCAGAACTGGCAACTTGCTTGTTTTATTTTTTTTTTTTTTTTTTTTTTGGAGGTTTATGCTATAGGGTGTATATGCTCCCTAGAAAGACAGAAAGCAAGAAATCACCCCCCCCCAGGGGAGATGGCCATGCTGCAGTCCCTTCTCTGCCATTCTCTTGGGGATCTTGGGCACACACGCACATGCACCCAGTGTGAGTTTAAGCCACCGGGTCCAGGACTTGAACTACAGTTGACTACACAGGAGTCCAGCGATGTAACCATTACGCCATCTGCTGGTCCCCTGGCACTTGTTTTCTCACTTTCCCTTTTTCTCTCTCTCCTGCTCTTGAGCTCACTCTGTCCCTCTCTGGTTAAATTTAAATTAATTAATTTTTTAAAAAAATTACATTGTCCCACCTTTGGGATGGATTACAAGGAGGTGGAAAATTAGAGGTAAGGAGGCCATTAGGCCGAATATTAGTAAATGTTTAATGATATGAATAGAAATTGGACTGATCTCAGGAAACATGCAAGAATAAATTGTGGGTGGAGCCAGCAGATGGTGTTGCGTTTAATTCGCTGGACTCCCACATGACTGGCTGCAGCTCAATTCCCGGACTTGGTAGCTTGAAAATCACACTACCTGTGTGTGTGCCTGCCCAAAATCCTGGGAGAAGGATGGAGGTGAAGAATTGAGGAGTGGCTATCCCCTGGGGGAGTGATTTCTCACTTTCCCTCTCACCATCTCTGTCTCTTTGACCACACATGCCCTAAGGCAAAAAACTCATAAAAATTATGGATTATGGGACCAGCAGTTGGCATAACGGCTACGTCGCTGGACTCCTATGTAGTCGACTGCAGTTTGAGTCCCAGACCCAGTGGCTTAAACTCACGCCAGGTGTGTGTGCATGCGTGCCCAAGATCCCGAGAGGAGGATGGAGGAGAAGGGATTGCTACGTGGCCATCCCCCCTGGGGGGTGATTTCTCGCTTTCTGTCTCTCTGTCTCTCTCTGTCTTTCTGGCAAAGGCACGTGCCCTATAGCAAAAACCTCTCCAAAAAAAAAAAAATATATATATATATATGGATTAGACTGCTTTTTAATCACATTCATGATCCATTTAAATATATTCTTGGGCTAGCCCATTGCCTGGTAATTAGGGCAGTTGAATCCGACATGGCTGACTGCCTGGTTCAAGTCCCAGACCCAGTGGCTTAGAAAACATGCTGGGCATGGGTGTCCAAAATCTCAAAAAGAGGAAGAAATGGAGGAAAAGGGATTACAATGTGACCATACCTCATGGTGGGAGGGGTGCTTTCTCCCTCTGCCTCAAGCTCTCTCTGTGGAGCACACATGCCTTCTGGCAAAAACAAAAAAGAAAGAATATTAAAAACTAAATTCTAGAAGGTAGAGCTGAGATAGGATGGAATTCAGAGCATAAAATCAAGTTAGTCTTAAGGGGCTGAGATAAAAGAGATTATATTTGTCTATTGCTCTACATAATTTTTTTTTGGGGGGGAGAGGCTTTTGCTATAGGGCACATACGCTCACCAGACAGACAGAGAGAGACAGAGACAGAAAGCGAGAAATCACCCCTCAGAGGGGATGGCCACGCCGCAATCCCTTCTCCTCCATTCTCCTCTCAGGATCTTGGGCACGCACGCACACGTGCCCAGTGTG